TCTTGCTTCTAAATTATGGGATAAATGTAGAACAGCTGATAAAAGCATTGTTTGAGAATTATATATATACATATATAATAAAACACAAATATCTAAACATTTAAATCATTTATTATTTCTTACCGGCTTTCCATCGCACTTAATATTCTGAATAAAACCATAAATAAATAAAAACAACACATGAAACTTTGTGTATGAAGAAACCGGTTTTTGGCTCCATTTTAGCGTCCTTTACGTTTTAAGTATTAGTGATTAAGTTAAATTTGTTGATAAAATTGTTTTGAAACCACCTTCTTTCACCTCTATTGCTACAAGACCAAAAATATTTACTAGAGTACCAAATTTAGTAAAATTATTAAATTGTTGGCTGGCGTATTAACAGACTATTTAGAGTATTTCTAACAGATCACTTTGGTAAATCCATGCTTTCAGCCTTGGGTGTGTTATAGCTTTCTGTCACTCCCTACTATTCGTTGGTAAAGAGTAGCCAATGAGTAGGCGGTGGATGTTGTTGACTAGCTGCCTTCTCTGTAGTCTGTCACTACAGAATTACGGACGGTTGGCGCAGATAGCCCTCTAGTAGCTTTGCGCAAAATTCAACAAACAATTTCCCCTATTTAAATAGCTTTGCAAATATATAAATTTTAAAAGATATACAACGTTTTTATAGAATTACAGTCAAATAGACTATTGAGTTAACATAATAACTTCCGTAATTAAGCCCCATGTGGCACAGCGGTAAACTTGAGGAACTTATAACTCTAAAAACAGTTGATCATTTATATTTCTTACTTTTTTTCCAATAATCTGGCTGTAATTATTAAAATATTGTATATACGTTAAAATATGATATTTACAAAGGAACAGAAAATTTAAGAATCAGAATGAATTTACATACGTCACATGTTAGAAATTCCCTAATTATCCTTTATATGCTAAAATTAGAGGACGCTCAAGGGAAAAGGGGCCAAACTGGGTTTTTCGTAAAGGTTTACTCTGTTTCCATTTCCATTTCTTGTGTTTTTCGTGTTCTTATGTTTTATGGTTTTATTCTGAAGACTACCTGTTTAATTAAATATTATTCTACGAGGAATAGGACAACCTAGTTGTCTCAGTGTAGTTGTTTATCTGTACAATAAAATAATTTATTCATTAGATAAATAAATACTGTTCAACTAAAAATATTTAATATGAAAACGTATGCAATTATTGACTAGCGTGGCACCTAAGTTAAATCACGTGAAAGAATCGTCAGCCCCTAACAATGTTTTGTCAAACTGAATATTGGAATAAATTCCTTTTAATTAAATAAAACGAAAGCAGCAGTTAATATCCCAGAGAATCTCAAGAAAAAGAGAGCTAGAGGATGAATTATGGTGAGAGATTAAGTTCTTGATGAATCTTCTTCAGGTTTGTTATTAACGTTTATATGTATTTAATAATTAATTTTGATGGGAAAGAAATAAAAAAAGGTGCTACGGCTGAATTTCTTAAATTTCGCTTCCATGTATCTTTTATTATCAATTCAACACGTTGAAAACAAACCTACATTTTCATTGTAAAAATGTGTTTCTTATGTTCCTTTATTGTTACTTATATAAAATGAGTTACTACCGCAGTCGTTAACACGCGCAGTTAGCCTTGAACGAAATGTAAAATGTTTGATTCGTAAAATCTGCTCTGCGAATGGCAATCGTTTTCTAGCAGTAGCAATCAACTATCTTTAGAAACATCTTTACACGCCACTAATAAATATGATAACATTTTTTTATAACAGCTTACCACATTTAGCAATAATCATATCACATTGTTACGTTTTAGTGAGATATAATTATAAAATTCGTAATTCTTTATTTTATTTTCCCTCAATAGATTGTACGCAAAATCATCTAAACTTTATTGCTGATTAGTTTTCCCGGGTGAAGACTCTGCAGTGAAATCTGATGACATAAACATTTATGAAACAAATAAAAAAAATCACATCAAGTGAATTAAAGATCATAAGACAAAATCTCCAAACCAAGAATAGCACATAAGGTTCACTTAGCAGACAACGAAATATTTATTCATTTATCTGACCAAAATGCGTTAATCTGTAGTTATTTAAACTTCGGCATCCTCGATGTATAAAATAATCATTGTTCCTATTAGTGAATTTACAAAATTTTGTGGAACTATATAAATAAGCGAGCCTGAAAAATTATATTAGTTCTGTTGATATATATATATATATTAGACCAAATCAATGCGATATCAGAACAAGATAATCGAATTAAACCTAACGAAATAAATGGCATAGCATAATCAGTCACCAAATCGTATTAACTCTAAATGCTGAAATGAAATTAACATAGCTAGTAAAACCTAGTGCAACACTACTGCTGACGTTCCATTCAAAACAGAAAAGTATAATAGATAAGTACAATAAAAGTGTTATTGTGATACAATATTTTAAAGATTACTGTATAAAAATACTTTTTTATTGTCTCTTGCACTAAATATAACAAACTCGCTCTTAAAGCAGCTCCCAGAGAGTTTTATGTAATAATTTGTTAATTATTTTGAAACATCATTTCAGATTGTTGACACGACACAGAAGTCCATAATAAGTATAACGTTTCTAATTTACGGTTATAATTAATCTTGTTTTTAATACTTAAAGTCTATTCGAGAAACCCTTGTGGTGGTTCTATTTTGAGTTATCCTCAATATATGAGTTATCTTGATTTGAAATTTTAAGCTCGAAAATTTGTTTGTCCGAAGATTTACAAACCTAAGTTGGATTGATGGTCTAGTAATCTTTGATGGAGATTAATCGAACAAAGAAATTTTAAAATAAATTTTCTAGCAATCTAAAAGAATAGAGTTTGATGCATACAAAAATTTTTTCACTAAACCAACTTTTCTGTTCAATACTATTTCTCAGCCTCAACCCAATTAACCTGTATGATGAAAAATTGAAACAGTCTACAGTTAATTGTGGTATGGGGTTTGTTATTCACATTATTATCTACAAAAAGAGAAAAATAAAGAAATCATAAGTACTAATTATAACCGAACGTCTTTTTTTAAAGGAAATCCTGGATATACTTATTTTGTTGTAAAGAGTTATAGGAATCCTTTTGCATCCTAAAAAAATTCTTAAATTCAACAAATATCACTTAAAAAACTACACAACAGTCACATTAGTAAATGATCTGTAGAAATACCCGACCAAATTAATTTTAACCTACATTTTCGCTGGAGAATCTCAAATGTCTGTAATATAATTTAAAAATTCCTGTAATATGGCACGAAAAAAGTACTTAGGAATTTGGATCATTTTTGAAAATATTACTCTTTCTGAAAAAAACAACAACAAAGGTTTGTTTAGAGAATATCCATAAATTAATCATCTGTGAACACGTCCAAATATTTTACTGTGTATGAAATAAAGGGGAATATATATATATAACGTTTTCCACCACACAAGTTTTTACACACACACTTGGGCCTCGATTTAGAAAGAAGATGACTTCCATTGCTGTACTTTCTTCTTCACCAGCTGAAACAATAATGAAACATTTGCAGTTCTCATGACAAATCTATGATTAACAAACCAAGTCTTTTAGGTTATTTCCTGTAATTAATTTTCATATTTATATCTTTCTTTGTTTGATGTCAAATTGTCAGAGAGGAAACCTTTCTTGAAGAAAGCGCTTGTGACTTTCTTCCACAGTTGACTTGTAAAATCAGTATAGTTTCTCGGTACGTTTTCTTAATGCTAATCGTTTCTTAAAACATATATTACATGATGGTTACTTGGCCTTTCTCCGAACTAAAATGGATTAATTCACTAACTTATAAAACTAGCTTACAACTGATACAGCTTCACTTTGGTAAATCCAGATAGTAAATTTACATTTTTTAAGTTGTTTCTTTTATACATTTAAAAGTATTAGCGCTTTCAAGGCACAAAATATATTTTCTAATGCTTGTGGTTTTACGTTTACATAGAACAAATACTCGTGTAGAACTAACCGGTCGTTAACATCCATTTCATCACGATTTGAACTTTCTTTTAATATTTCATATAAAAGAAAGTAACCAGTAAATGTCCTGAACGTTTATTTATAACAATGTCTTTGATATTTTAAGACTTTCACATATATGATTCAAATTGACATACATTTCCACGTTAGCATAAATTGAACACGACCAATGCATATTTGATATTTCGTGACGTCACAGCACGACAGAGCAAGACTCTTGACTATTATCAATAATGAGACGTAAGTTTACTATTCAAAACAAGTCCAACACCAAATGTCAATATCAAGAACTTGTGAAACCCCATGACTACAACCTATGCGTTATTAAATTAATTTAAAAATCTTTAACTGTCAAAATTTCATATCGGACACTTATATCTTTAAATCAATATCTTAAAAAATTCTGTTCAAGTTTAAGACACTTTACTTCTATTATGAAGACGGTGTTAGCATGACTCCTTTCAAACAGTCTAAAATCCTAACTTGTCTATAATCTTCTTAAAGCAGAACAGAAACCACGTAGACCTGCAAGGTTGTATATTGTATACTGATACTTTCCATAGCACTTTCGTATTTCCTATGTAGCGTCATTAATTCCTAGTCAAGCTAAATATGCTGAACAGGCTCGAGTACGTATAAATATAATAATACAATATGAAAAGCACTAGCGGTTGAATCTTTTACAGTTAATGTAATACAAAAAATATGTAACTAAAATTAAACATATTGAAACAAATTCTGCGTCTTTTAAATACAAAATAAATATTCGGAAGTCAATGATATGACTTTTTTTTTTACTTCTTTCATATAAATTAGAATTTTCCAATCTAAGACTAACAAATCAGTGTAATGCTTGTCACCTGACTGTATATAATCATTTTTCCCCCAGCTGATACGATTATACAGCATTATGAAATAATGCTTTTAATAGTAAATAAGGCATTTACAAAAAAAAAAAGAAAAATTCTCACTCCCAAGAGAAATGTATTGTTACAACCTTGTTTCGTGAATTTGGGGTTGGGGTGCATAAGGTGTGAATCCAGCAACAGTCGCATGCCCAGGTAGGGCTTGTGGGAAGGTGTATGGGTAAACTTGGGGCGGTAGATATGGAGAGTTGCCGTGACCAGTAGATGGCGCTGAGGTAACACTCGGATAGGTGTAGGACAAGGGATCCAAGCCGTTAGCAAACTGGGCTGAATGGTACGCAGCTGCGTAGTCGTAGAAATGCCAAGCTGCTGCCGGAACTGAAGAGAAAGGCACGTTCGGAGGTAGCAATACATTTGATGACGTAACGTAGGGGGATGGATAGAGATACTGGGGCGACAGGCTGGAATGAAAAAAAAATGTATATAACTCTATACATGTACACTTTTTACCCTATAAAAATTCTTATGTATATATTCAAACTTAACACAGTTCAAACTGTCGAACTGAATTACGAAAACTAATATGACACAGATAAACAAAACAAAACTATTATAGGTTTGATAAAACTGTCATACTATATATAGTGAATTTATTACTTATAGACAATATACTGAAACTAGCGGTGTCTCCATAATGCTTTGTTTGTCGAAACGTTGTACATTTGCTGTTATGTTAAACTTGTATTAAAGTTTTTCTTCATTACCCATTCAAGCCGTCTCCAAGCATTATTGGTCTCAAAATGGGTTCCTCGCCATCGAAGTGTCTCTATAGTTGATAGCGGCTACTCAGAATCACACACTATCACATCGTGTGAAATATAACACTGACAGTTGCATTTAAAGTATAGTACTATCACTTCGCATCTTACTATGTAGTATATACTATTACATCACTAAATGTATGCATGCATGTTAAAATTCTTCACGTGAGGCTGTTTCGATGGGTTTGTTAATTTTTTTAGCTTTATTTATGGGGCACATTTCTAATAGTTTTCCATGTGTCTTTCTTCAAATGTTATTTTTGAATTTCTCAAGTTTATCTTTTTATCCATAAATACAAAAAGTTGTAAATTAATAACTTAAACACATAAAACAAAAGACATTAGTACACCAGGTAGGAAAATAACAGAATATATTTTACTCCAACAAAAATTAATTACTCTTTTTGTTTGTTTCGTATGGCGTTCTCACACCTCCAAATTCTGTTGGAGGTGAGTATCCGGGAGTAGGAATGACGTCCTAGTTCGGACACCGGATGAACATGTTTCGGTGTGACTGGGATTCGAACCCCCGAGCTTCAGATTGCGATTAATTACTCTAATTTGTATTTAATCATATATCTATACCAACTTTTAGCGGGAAGGTCAACTATACATACTACTGTATGTTCAAATTACTGCAACCGGGTATTCTCTAGAGGGTGTGAATTAATGATTCATATTTTAAATCACTTAATGAAACCACATCAAAATCGCTTTTCTCTTTCAAACTTGCCACACGTTAAGTCTCTTTACCGAGAAATGTGAAGAGCACACTTGCGTGTTATGGAAGTCTAAGGTAGTTTCTTCACTGTACAAATTATAATAAGACAGTCAATCTCACTATTCGTTGATAAAAGAGTATCCCAAGAGTTGGCGGTTGGTGGTGTTGACTAGCTGCTTCCTCTCTAGTCTTTCACTACTAAATTAGGGACGGCTAACGCAGATAGCCGTCGAGTACCTTAGCGCAAACTTCAAAACAATCAAACACTGTAGAAAACAATTAAAGTATAGTTGGTTTTTGCAATATTATAATCGTGAAAAGGCAAAACCGATGCGGTGAAATAATGTCATTCATCCTTTCAGTTCACTACTATGCAAGTCAGGCAAATGATGATCAGTCATGATACCTGAAAAGCAAATTCATTAATCATTTATATAAATATTTCACACAGTCTTTTATGAGATGTCACTTTGGGTTGAACCACAGTTTAAAGTATTTTAAAACCATCTCAATGTTTCATCCATACGTATAACCGTCGAACAAATGGAAACCGACCAATCACAGTAGACTGTTGCCAATTGGCTACAAGTAACTCAGAGGGAGTGAACCAATAGTACGGTTGCTCTAACACCTGAACAAAGCAGATCATGATCGACAATACCAGTAGATAATGCTGTATACGGATTCTGACTCATTGCAATCTGTTCAGAGACTGAATCAGATATTTAAGCCGCTACTGGACAACTTGTTAACGTACAGACGGCTACAAACAGATTCACAAGGTCAGCCTGCATGCCAGACGATCACTAGGTGTCTTCTGCTCAGAGTAAAGCACATATACAGAGGACCAATAACTTGTAGAGCAATATCCTCTTTATAGAGTTATTTATCATTCCGTTAGATAACAATCGTATACCCATTTGAAGCAAGTCTGGAGCTAGAAATAATCCCATTTTCATAAAGAAAAGTGATTCATATCAAGCAGTGGTGGACGCATTGTGTGATCATAAATAAGCACTGATAGATGTCTAATGATACCATGAATGCTGCACATTATAGGGACCAAATTATATGACTATTTGTGCTACCATATGCTGTTGCAATTTTTTCTGACTTCAGCCTGATGGTTAACAACAGCTGACGTAACCATAAAAAACTTCTGAAGGAGAAGAAATTAACTGGATGGAATGTCATGCACACTCGACGTACATTAATACTGTAGCTAGTCTTGGGAGGCGTGTCGCATCTCGTCAAGTGACTCAAAGCACTAAAGATACCCTGGAAACACCTCTTTCGGAGGAATAGTCGAGGATATCTCAGTACCTTATTAATGCCACGATTGTACGCACATAATGTGGGTTCCAGGCTATTCTTGCTGTTTGACTTGTATGATAATGAACTGGGTCGAATGAAGGGTGTTATTTTATGACAATAGTTTTATTCTCGTTACAGCTAAGCTTTTATTTAATCCAATTTTCCTTTCATTGTTTTGCGCAGTATATACTATGGTATGAAATCATAATCCTAGTTAAAACTGAGATGACTGATGAGCCCCACACAATAAACCAGTTAAAATACAAAGTACTGACTGTTAGCTTAGGAGTCCTTGTTTTTAACGATGTTTCCAATTGAAATTCCAAGTTTATCTCACAAGGTTCGACCAGCTTAAAATCTTTAATTTAAACTTAAACTCAAATACTAAATGCAAATACAAATTGATCACCCATTGAGCATCTGTCGGTGCTCAAATAAATAAGATGTTTAAATATACAATAGGTAACATTGATATTTGTTGTTAAGCACAAAGCCACAAAATAGGCTATCTGTGCTCTTCTCGCGATGGATATCGAAATCTGATTTTGGGTTTTATAAGCCGTTATACTTACCTTTAAGCCACCTTGGGAGTGGGGGTGGGGCAGGTAACACTGATATTTGTTGTTAAGGAGTGCAATTCTTCGAAACTAGTCTGGCTCACAAAAACACCCACAATGAAAGAATAGACCATTCCAAGCTTTTACTTGTTTTTAAACAAATGTTGAAACAACTTTATTCAATTATGTACCAGCTGCCTAGACAAAAAAGACAAATCAAGCTGTAGTTATGAGAATTCTAAAAAAAAAGTAAAGTATTTTAGAATCCATAACTCATTGGCAGCCACTGAAGAGTTATATTCCACATTTATTAACAGAATGGAGATATTTATGATATAAGAAATATCCATTTTGGGGAAATCATTAGTGAGTTTTCTAAATTCTGTAACATTGAACGACTTTCACATGCATGGTGAAACCTATTAACAGTCGTATGTCAGAAAAAAAATACCCGTTTACTCGTCACCTCTTCATTTATGTGAAGAGCTATTCTCGCTAACATTACAAGATATATATCTCTATTTGTATATATGTAGAATCAAAAAACGGTTGAAAATCACGATTTGTTGGCTATTCAATGATGTAAAAAGTACGTAATAAATACACATTAATTTAACTATACTGAAGACAAATAAGGTTTGCCTTTTTTTATTATGTTTGTTTGAAGTTAAGCACAAAGCTACACAATGGGCTATCTGTGCTCTGCCCACCACTGCTATCGAAACCCGGTTTCTAGCGTTCTAAGTCAACACACATACACTGTGACACCGGGGGGGGGGGCTTTTATCTTATGAAAAAGTGATTCGGCGTGTCGTTTACGATAAGACAATAATGCCTCTTTAAGCATGAGCTGTTTTCATTTTAGAAGAACAATTTCCACCCTGATTTCGGTTCGGTAATTCGAAATCTATTCACGTCCAGACAGTTTTATGTTGTTATAAGAATTATTAGTGGTTGTAAGACATGATGGCGTTTCTACGAAAGTGTAGATTATCTTAATAAAATAAATGGTTAGAACATTTCTGTAACTTTTGAGGATGCGATATTGTCGACTCAAGAGGAAAATGTACATAACACATTTTTGTTGTTGTCGCAAATATTAGTTTCTTTCAAAATGTTGATTGAAGAATGATTACAGAGATTATAAAAAAATCTTCAGTATGTTTGAATTTTTCTTGGGAACCTACTTTAGCTTTACAGGACGGTATTTCAAAAAAAGGTTACGGGAAAACGTATTTTACTAATAAAAGGGTTTTCGTGTAATGAAAGTTTACACGGTTTATAAAACATCAAGGTATTCAACAACACGTAAAGTAGGCACAAAAATACGTTTCCAATATTGCCATATGTAACATAATTATAGCGCATTTTAAGTTAAATTCCTAATTTAATATTCCGTTACACATACTAGCGTAATCGTACATGGTCGTTAGAGAGAAAGTAATATTCTTTACTTTATGAAATGAGGTAACGTAAACGACCATTCATAGAATAAAAACATGCAATCACTTACTCGGAAGTTGTAAACTGAGTGATTTTTCCTCTCACTTTTATCCACGACAAAGAATATTCAACCCAAGATAACTCAGTTCAGCGTGTGTATGGTTATTATAACTGGTAATCTTGACGATTTTCGGGGAAAAAAATCGTGAGTTGAGGTTAATAAATGCAAGTTTACATTTTACTCTTATCTTTGTTTCAATATGTATTGGAGGTTAAAGACAAGTCACATTCATTTTGAGGCTAATCAACCGATGTGAAGAGATAGCACCCGTTAAAATAAATCAATATTAGCTAGCGATGGACTCTTGAATCGGATTAGTTGAAGAGTGTTTAAATAAAGAACATTTTGTTGAAGATAAATTATAAACGTGCTCTTTACTAGATTAGTCTTAGTGTTTGACTTATTACCATTGTGATAAAAGCAACTACATGCTATTTTCCTGCCTAAAATGAGCAACAAACTATTTAAATCTAGAACAAAAGTAAAAAAGACCTTTTTATGTAATGTATAGAGACATATAAGCCTTTGAGAATTCTAATTGCGA